TTGATCAAAGCAATTTGTCCTGCTTTGAATGAATCATTAATATTGATGAGTGCTTGAAACTGTGTTTGAGTTTTTAGGGCACCTGGGTGGCTTGGTCGGTTAAGTGGCTGTCTTCAGCTGAGGTTATGATCTCAGGGTCCTGGTATCAAGTGTCCACATCGGGCTCCCTGCTCAGTGGGGAGTCTGCTTCTCCCTCCCCCTCTGCCTCCTGATTCCCCTCCTTGTACTCTCTCTGTCTCTGTGTCAAATAAATAAATAAAATCTTAATGTGTTTGAATTTTTACAAATGTTTCTGAATTTGGGCAGTTTTATATCCAATACTTTGAGTGGAGAGAAAGGTTTAAACTAACAAAAGCTTGCTTGTTTTCACACTGAAGTTGGAGATAGAACTCTTATTTGCCAATTCATAATTGGGCTTCTCTTGGTAAGTGTTTGATTCCTCCTGGAGTCCCTGGTGCCTAGCACAGTCCCTAGTATACACTAAGCATCCAATAAATGTTCCTTGAATTATAACAATAGGAATATGCAATCTACAATATATTTAATTTATATTATGCATTATACTTGAGATACTTTAAAATAGCACTCTGAATGTCAGTTTGAATTGTAGAGTTCTGGAATCAAAGAATCCTTTTGGAGATTTTCTCCTTTGAAGTGGTTTGATTTTTAGAGCTAAGTATAAAGCAAATTTCTGATATTTTATTCTCCTAGAAAGGCTGGACAAGTTATAATGGCAATGGGGAAAATTAATTTATTTTAGGGAGTCAATGTGTTTTTATATTTTCCTGAAGCCAAAGGCTATTGAAGTGGGAAGAAGCTTAATAAATAAGTAAACTGTAATGTAAAATTTAGACCAGAGACACCAAAAGAAAGGTACGTTTTATGGCTATAGAGTTTGTAATTATTTGGTTGAATTCCAAAATAAAATTATTTATTCAGCTACGAATGAGTTCTGTTAGGGGATGTCTAGCCATAGGTTGCTGCCTAGAATTACAATTAGACTAATATTTGCATTCCCAGCATTTGAGAAACTATTTATTTCCTGTCCTCCTTCCCTCTCCCCAACCAGACCCTACTCCTGGGCATGCTCTCACCACCATGCTTTAAAGCTTACTTTCTTTCGATAGTAGATGGAGAATCTTCCCCTGGGTCCTCCTAGCATTTGAAACTTGGACTTAAAACTAAAGCCTACAAAATAAGTAGAAAAATGTAAAGGCACAATCACCTGACTTATTTCACATGTAATATAATTTTTCTGGTTTGACCAAGGTTTATATTATATCATGAGTTCCTTTGTTTGTACCTCTACATATATATCAATAAAGTGATGCCTTGGTTTAAATTTAAATTACCCAGCAGGTGGTCTGACTATGCCAGTTTTGTGGACTACAGTTGGGTGATGGAGATCCTGATCTGGTTCTAACGCAGTATCAGAGTGTGACCCTGGATAGATTGTTTAGTCTCTAGTTAGTCCACTATCACCTCTTTGGATTAACTAGATAATTAGGCCATTCTTTGTTTGTTTCACAAAGGGAAAATGATGTATTAAGAAAACTAAATAATTGGGTACAATCCAATGAACCAAGGTGATGCTCCAACTTTGGGCATGTGGCTGACTTCCAGAGCTCTCTCCAGGGCATACCGTGCCTTCACCAATGCCCAGATGCACGCATCCCGACATGGGCAGATGATGAGACCCCTTTGTTCCTGTTATATACCCCATTCCCTCCTCCAGCCTATTGCCATGATTGCCATTGTTTGTCTCCATCCAATGTCCATCTGAAGGTGGCAGGAAGATGTTCACACATGTGGCCTCCTCCCTATTATGTCCTTGATCCCTTTAAGGGACACTGTTCCCCTCTGTCTTCCTTAAAACCTCTCATGAATACATGTTTCTACACTTATTTTCCCATAAATTCTTTTGTTCTCGCTCTTTATTACCTAAGCAAAATCTCAGAACACTTTTCCATTTCACTAGTGAGAAACAAAGTTCCAGTCTTGTCTAAGAAGTAGGAGTGAAAATAATCGTGTCCCTCATTAAGGAAATTTAAGGTTACATTCAACTTATTAAGAAACAGTGACACCCATCACTAAAGTCCTCAAGACTTTTGGTTCTATCCGGAATTTCTTCAATTTCATAGTTTTAAAAAGGTAAACCTATTTATCTGTTTTCACAAGCAATCAAGATATACATAGAATGCTATAATTTTTGGTTTTCCTGTATGTAGTTATAGCATGGCAAATATATCGTGTGCTGTGTGCTGTAAATGTAACATCTGTACAGGTCAAGACAGCAGAGAGGACGAAATAAATGACTTTGGGGGATGATTCAGGGATGTGGGGGTGGAGATTAAGAAAGTCATTACAAAGAAAGGGATCCTTGAGCTGGACTTTGTAGTTTGAATAAAAAAAGTTTTCATTTGGCTAAGTCAAAGAAAGTCAGTCCAAGCATCAGGCAAGGCTCAGAGATAGGGTACTACCTGATGCACTTTGAGGAACAAGAAGTTGTCTAGCATTGTCAAAGTCTGACCTGTTTGAGGGTTCTGATGCAAGGGTCAGATTTAAGAGAGCGGAAGAGTGGGAGGGAGAGAGAGAGGGGGAAAGAATGAGAGAGAGAGAGAGAGAGAGATTACCATGTGTCTCGGTGTTGTTGTTGTTGTTTGTTTGTTTTTTTGACAAACTTTCTACCACAAAACCCTGTAAACTAACCGAACACAAATTAAACCATCTCTTTCTAAAAATGAAAGCATACCAGATTCTTGGAACCCTTCCCGAGGCCCTCTCCATCCATTGGGTAGAATGGCACAGAGCTCCAAGGCGAGTAGGAGCTGCAGCATCAGAGACAAGAAGAGAGGAAGTAAGAGACAATTTGGAAAGTGAAGCAACTTGTCTTTGGGGCTGCCTCCTGGGGTCCACGTTGCTGCGTCTGCAGATGATAAGGTCTCCTGCGCATGCCAGGAAGTGTGAGCCCCTCATCTCCTTGAGAATGTGAAGACAGGGCAGGAAGAAGAGGAGGTAAACCTCCTTGGAGGGGGTGTTGAAGTAGAGCCTGCCTCCCTGCAGACACGATAAAGGGAACAGCAGACCAGGGAGCAGCCTTTCTAGGCACCAAAGTGGCTGGTGAGAGATTCTACTGAGAGTGAGGCAGTGGTTCGGGATAAATTAAGACTCTACTAGTCAAACTTTGCAACATTCAGAAAAACATCCCTTTTAAGTGTTTAAAAGTTACAGAAGTTCTATTTTCTGTCTGTAGTATTGCTTTTTCAAGAATTGGACCCCCACTAGTATATAATATGAATCATAACATAAACCTATCCCTAACACATGCTAATGTCTGTTGGATTAGGTATTTTTATCAAAGGTGTAATTTAAGATACGAATATTATCATTTAAATTACTGAAACAAACCAAGAGTGGTAACAGTTGAAGTGTCATAGTTAAGTTTTCTGTCTAGGTGGGTTTTTCCACTTTTCTTATGCTACTCACATGAAACACAGGATGGCTTCGGCATTACCTCATCTCTTTTGACCAAGACCCATTTCCCTGGGCATCCATCTCCCACTTGCCACAAAACCCTCAGTCTCATTGGTTTTCTTCTCATTCCTAAGTACTCATTGTTTACTAGAGACCAGCAGTGTTTTTTTTCCCCTTCCTTTCAAATCTTTTTTGTTGTTCAGAACATTACTTTGTAATGATATTCTTTTTTAGATTATTAGGCAACTTACAAAAGTTTCTGCATAAATTACTAAAAATAAAATGAGTCGTGTTTTGATTTTCTCATCCCTTTCCATGAGGAAGAGAAAGGTAATTTTTAGTTTATCTTTCCCATCTAGGCTCCCACCTCTCCCCACCAATGGTATGTCAGGATTCCACTGCATAGGGCTAGCCAAGACTTCAAATGCATAAACACACGTTCATATTTGTTCTCCTAAAGTGAACCACCTCTTTCCGAAATATCTACCGACACATTCCCTAAAGGAAGAGAGCACCCTGTAGCCAGTTACACTTTCTTAGTTTCAGGTTTTATCAGAGCCGCTTGGGATCCTTCACAGGGACCCTAGGTGCCTTTCTGGTTGTGGTGCTGGCTGTCAGAAATAAAGCAAAGTTCTCCACAACTGGCCTCAACACATTCTTATAACATGACAAAGTCCCTATGAGTCATCATTTCCACATTTGTGAGGGAGCTGATTTTTCCTGGTATCAGTGGGGTAATCTGTATTATGGACTGTCGTATCCAAAAGGGAAACTGAGGCAAGGAAGCTTGCCAGCTTTCCCAGGACATACAAAGCTTCCCGGCCAACTCAGTCCTGCGAACATCATGCACACCATAGCTCCATAGTCAAAAACTGGAAAATGTATTTTACTTTATAAAAAGCATGACAAAGAGCACCCAGGGAGCATACTGTCTTGAAGGGAACTCTGGCTTATCCATAAGGAACTGCACAGAAAGTATGGCCATTAAAGAGCATCCAATTCCAGACCCACCTTTTTTTGGCGGGGGGGGGGGGGGGGGGGGGGGGG